TTGCACATCTGAGTCAATATATGTCCAAGAGTACTAGAAAAATGCTTCCAGAGACTCTTCTTTCTGCTAAGGAAGTTCCTAGGTCACAGTCTCAATTTCTCACCATCAAAGAGGCACACCTTCTATTTTACCTAAAGAAAAACCATTTTTATTTAGATTTACCCTTCATATGACCTTCTAGCCCTGTAAGATCAGTGGTGATTGCAATACAAACACCATGGTTGGGTCTCACTCTTGTAAGGGCTGTGCTGTAGTTCTGTTGCCAACTACAGCCAAGGCTGGAAACACATACTGCACTTCATGGAACTGAAGCCTAAATACTGCTACTATAGAGCTTAGCACTTTATTAAAAATAAACACACTCTAATTTATAAAAAGAAGAGTTTTAAGAAAGGGCAACACAATACGTGCATGACAACCTCCACTAATTGTTTCCCCCTCCCCATCTCAAAGCCCCAGCCTCAAAAAAAATAAATTTTACTCACTATTCCTCCCAACCCCAAGGCACAACACACCTTCTCACAGTACACACCTTCTAGTCAAACACAAACCACCCTCATTTATTAAGTGAAACTCATTAACTCTGGCAGTTTCCAGCTGGTGGGGCTCATCAGCCTCACCTGAGGGGTAACTCCCTCTCCAGGAGGCAAAGGGCACCAAAGCATCTCCTGGGCTGCTGAGCCCCTCTTGTCCAGGGCCCCCAGGAGAAGCTGGGCTACGTCCTCACCTTTCTTCCAGCCTCATCCACAGAAACCCACTCCCATGGGGTGCCTGGGGCCATCAGCCATGGTCTTTGGTTGCACTGCACCAGCCAGAGCTGGAAGGAGAGGGGGAGAACGGTGAGCTCTGGCTCTGGCTCTCCCTGCTGCAGTGCCTGCCCCACCCCGCAGGGCACGGCACAGAGGGATTACAGCCACAGCTCACCCCTGCACCTCCCTCACGCGCCCGACCTGCTTCAGCTCCCAGAGCGTGGCCAGGTCTTGTCACCTCCTGAGTCTTCTCACAGAGACGCTACAAACCATTTCACGCACCACAGCACACGCCAGCACTGTTGGTGGGCGCCAGCCACCTGCACTGCCCACGGCCACAGCTGATGCCACCACCTTGGCTCTCCACACTGCCATGAGGGCTCTCTTCTCTCAGGAACATGGAAAGCAAGAAGCCAGGCCCCAGGACTGACTTTCCACTCCACCTACTCCCTTAAGGAGCAATAAAGTAATTTGTTTTCTTTCCCTCATGGGAAGGAGGACAGACCCATCTCCTCCTGAGCCAGTCCTGCAGGTTCAACAGCCCCAGGCTGTTCCCACTCATCCCAGGCTCTGGAGGGTCTCAGCTCCCCCACTGTGATAGTGAAGACCCTGCTCACCACCCAACACACCACCTCAAACAAACAGTGTGGGGGACAACCCCTCTTTCACAAACTTCACCTGGCATTGGCCACACTGCCCTACAGTTCCCCATGGCATTAATGCACCCATACCTTCCTTGCCATGGAAGCCCTGGGGCTCCTCACATACCTAACATCCATCATGAGCTCAAATGTTGTATAAACTGCATCTTGATATGGTTTTAACTGTAAAGTTTAGAGGAACCATCTGTATTATCAGCGTTAATCACATCAAGTTCTATTTTGAAAATACAACTCACTAGTTGATAAGAGTTTTCCCAAATTGCTTAGGAGATTAATAAAATAATCAACTTAGCAGAGGGGAAGAAAAACCACAAACTATTCCTTTAAGGAAATCACTTTATTGCCTATACATGTGAATGAGCTGTTTTAATGCTCAGGTTCACTGCCTCTTCTGCATTTAATCTCTTCCCTTTTATGTCCTACTCTGATTTTTTTTAAAAGACTTTCAGGCTTTTATAAAATTAATTATACAAATCATTAGTATTAAAAAGGTAATATAATGGTTTCAAGAACAAGCTTCACAGACTATCTGCATATTTAATCATCTCTGCTAATAAATTTTTAATCACTCATTGAGTTCAGGTTCTTGTCTTGAAGCTTAACTTGATAACAAACCTAGCAACTAGTAGAACTAATTGGTACAGAGTAAGTGAATAATTTATAAGAGGAAAAAGCACTGGGTGTTCTGGAGGTGTGCAGAGACCACAAGTCACAGATATTTCTGGGAGGAAGCATGAAAACAGCGGCTGATTACAGGAATTTCGTGATACACTGCTGACATCCAGAGGCCAACAGTCAATACTGTTCACATATGTGAGCCAGGCTGTAAAGCCAGATTCATTAAGTTTTAAATATTCATGCATTTCATTAAAGTTAACATTAATTGCACTACCATATACATTGATTATGCATAGACCATAAGTGTTTAACCTCTGAAAGCTTACAAGTATATTCAAGTAATGGGGTATGTCCCATCTTCAATGATTTCAGGGAAAGCTGAAATTAGAAACTGAATGCATTACAATGTGAGTATTAGAATAGTAGTTTGAAATATGAGGACAATAATAAAAATAATTATTTTTCTAACTAAACAGAAAAGCTGTAAATAGCTTTATATTTTTCTAAACTAAATTAATACAGGTAACAAAAGGTACATATCAGATTTCTTATAGACAAGTGCTAGACTGATTTGCAAGTTACATCTAATAAACAGGTTAAAACAGTTAAAACTAACTGGTGACTGTGTGGATTCTGTTTAGATTGAGTAGCTTTCACCAATGTAACAACAAAAAAAGACCATTTTCTTGAAATAAGCTGATTCTAACTTAAAATGAGACACCTCAAGACTACTGACACTACATACTCATTCTACCCCCAAGGGAAGCACAAAACGCTATAATTCTTAAACCAGGATGTAACAGACATTTGACACAAATTCAATTATCTTTGAAAGATACCACTTGTAGTTAGTTACATACATAATCCTCTTTTATTTAATGGGTTAAAGCTCTCTTTCAAAACATTTAGTTGGATGACTTGAAGACTTACTACATTTCAAAAAATTCATTAAATGACTTAATAAGATTGTTAAGTAAAAACACTCAGAAGTTTAAAAACGTCATTTATTGCCGTCCGTGTAACCTTAATTCGGGCCATGTATGTGTATGTGTTATGAAAGCAGTGAATTAACTTTTAATCTCCTTTGAGCCAAGAAGATTTTAAGATTTGAAACCAAGGCACAAAGGCCATGCCAACAAATACAGTGCTGAGCTTTAGCGCAATCTCTGAACTAGCTCACATCTCGCAGCACATACCCCTGCAGGGCTAATTACCCCAGATAGCAAGCTGGACTCCAGCAGTCATGCTGCTTCTAGTACCTCTGCATGGCAAGCTCAGTTCTCTCTTCCTGGCAGTGCACTACACAGACACACTCCCAGAACGTAAAATTTGAATTCTGAAGAAAGCATGAAAAGTTTTTCAAATACCGTGCTTCAAACTAGGTGTTCTGACACTGATTTTCCATCAAGTAAAGGTAAAAACATATCACTTCTCAAAGTATTAAAAAAAAAAATCTTCTGCACATAATACCAGTTTCTATGGTCTTTCTGGAAAAAAAAAAAATCTGTCCTTAACACTCCATGAGATAGATATAACATTGTCCATATTTTGTAGAGGAGCAAATGTTGGAGACAGATAGACTAGCTTGCCCAAAATAGTACTGATTACTCTCTGAGCTGTTAACAACTCCTGATTAGCCAATTCTCTTTGTGAAGGTGAGCACCAAAGTGTAGTATTCCTAATTAGAAGCACCAGTTAACACACTGAAATTCTGTTTAAATAGCATTGCCTACACCCTGAAAGAACTTTGTGGTCAGACATATCCTGGGCGATCTCACAAAAATTCCTTGCTGTTTTTCCTGACAAGAAAATATTCTTTGCTAGCAAGTATCTTTCAAGTCACATATCAACCACTTGTACCATTTAAGACATTTGGAAGTAGTCTGGGATATCACAATATTGGGGCTTTTGAGGGGAGGTATTTGGGGGGTTTTTTTACACATTAAAACTACTTCCTTCATGCTTCTTCCTTCAGTAACATTTAAACAAGGAGGTAGCCTAGATTTTATTAGTTTTACTTGTTTGTTTTTTTCTGGCATAGTCACAAACAATCACAGAGTTCAGGAAAGGTATGCACATTCATATAAAAGAGATAATGTATTCTCAGCAACATTTCTGTTTAGATTTTAATTAAGAGAACTGTCAAAATGCAGGAAGCAACGCTTTGCAGTGTAAGAAATTTTGACAGTTAAAAACTTTCAAATGTCCATATCCGATGCTCATTAAGCAATTACTTGGTTTTGGGCATTTTTATTTATTTCAGTCTACTTTTGGTGGGGTTTTTTTTCAATTTCACTTGTAAAACAAAACCTGGAAAAGCAGGCAAAGCTTCTCGATGGTTGATGTCTCTCCACCATGTGACAAATGTGACATAATACTTACACTCCCTCTTCTTTTCTGATAGGTCCAAAGGTGACAGGTACTCACTCACTGAGCAGTTAGATTCTCTACCAAGCATGCATACTTAAATACAAATACAAAGCTTTCACATGTCCAAGGAGAAATGGATTACAGTAGACAATTCATCTGGCCATGATGGTAAAAAAACCCCAAGGATGCAGAGAAAGTTTCTCCTTATTCTACGTCATACCCAAAGTAACACTATCTGAGAAGTAATCACATTATTGAAGTGAATCTGAAGAGGCTTTAATTAAAATGGTATTTTTTGGTAAGTACAATTTGAAATTTTGTTTGAGGTTTAAGAGTTAAATTTATTAGACTGCAAAGAGTTTTACAAGGCATTCCTAATGTAATGAGCTTAGGCACCACATATGTTGCATCTTTGGTACACATTAGGAAAAGTAGCTTTTTTAATGAGCTTTAAAGACTGCATATGCATACCAGAGGAAAAGGTCAGTGATGTGTGGATCAAGTCGGTAAATTAAGTATCACAGTATTATGTTATTATGCCTGCCTTCCACAGACACACAATAACAAAATCATAGGCTATAGTTACCATACTATTCTAATGCTTCCATCTACATGGCCTTGTCAGCTTACACACACTGGCATTGCTGTGCCTCGGGTCCAACTCACTCCATCCCTTGCCCAGGCCTCCTTTACCTTCTCTGCCCAGAAACTCCTGCAGCAGCACAGATGGTATGCCTGACAGTCAGAGAATCCAAGCAAGCACAGGAAGGGGGGCTGGATTCAGTGTGATGGCCCATCTCCAAATACCACCTTTAACCACACAGAGATACCCAGGACAATGTCCTCATAACAAGATCAAATCTCTTGGACAGCAAAGCATCAGGACACCCAGGGATGCCTCATTCAGTTCAGGCCCTACTGCACTCGAATTTTTGTTCAAGGATGCAGCAGTATCATCTTTCTTTCAAAACACAGATATCAAAAGTATTTCTAATGCTATGGTCCCAAATTTGACTTGGTCTACCATCTCAGTTCCTTTTAGTTGGAATGTTAGATACTTGGTAATCTGCAAAGACTGGTTGACCAATAGCTATACTGACATTTTTATTTTGTGATAAATAATAAAATAAGCTAGGAACTGACTGCACATACACTTTCACAAGGTTTTCAGCAGAGTCAAGCCCACTAAATTTATTTTTATTTGCAAGTATTGTAAATATTGTTAATTTGCAAATATTAAGACATTACCTTTATTTTTAAAGAGCAACTGAAGTTGATTCCCTTCTTAACTGTGCAACAATCCACAGAATTTAAGAAGTCTCTCTCTGTGTCAGAGACTATAGGTATGCACTAAACCATGTTATCCACCACATAATAATTTATGCATGTTTATACATTCCACAGCCAAGTCAGTGACACTCCAGCCCTGTACAAAGATACAGATTTAGTCATTAGAGAAAAAAATCCTTTAAAATATTACAACAATAATAGCACAACTCAATACAACTGAGCAGTTATAAGTGGTTTTAATGATTTTTTCACTTTTTGGATATGATAATCCTCAAAGTAGCATTCAAAAATATAGTGCAAAATATTTATTCATTTTATTTACAAATAAAATGTGCAGTTCAGCTTCTTAACCTCACCACAGTAAATGTTATTCTTTTATGTGATGAACAGAAATTATGAGAAACATTTATAGAGACAAAAAGTTAATTTTAAACCTAAGAACAAAGATCTTCCTTCAGTTATATTTTTGTAGGAGATAGACAATATTTTTCAAAACTGTTTTCAGTTGAAAAAAAACCCAAAGTACAAGACAACACTAAAGAATTACATAGGAAAGAATGGTTTTTTAAAACCATAAAGTTAATTTTGCTGTGACAATCACAAAGCAAAGTTCTTATCTATATAGAATATAAATTTTTTTTGCAGCTTAAACATAGAATCTTTACAATGTAATGCTTTTTGCCCCCTTTTTGCTATACAAATTCCCTCTAGGGGAAACGTATTCTAGTATCTTCCTTTCCCTCTGATGAAACAACAGATGCTTTGGTTAAAGAGCAATTCGTGCGCAATAGTGTTTTAACTTGCAAGGCAGAACTCCTTTATTAAGTTGGTAGAATTCCACTAGCTGGATGAGATCAGTAAATCTGGTATGACCATCATCAAGGGTATAGAATAGCTTCCCATCATCTTCCAACTGTAAAAATGGAAAAACAAGATTCAATAAAATCCTCTTTTGCTATGGTATTTCTTCCTGATTGGAATACTTGTTTGAGAAGTGTTTTTAGAGACCAATATATTCATAATATTATGGCTACTGAAAGAAGGAAAAATACAGTGATCATTCACCCCAACATCAAAAATAAACAAAAGAAAAATAATACATTTTTTAACTTCAAGTACACGCCTAAAACGAAAGAACAGGTAAATAAATATAGGAATATTCTTTCTGCACTAATAATGCTACTTTATGCTTTGGAATGATAGCTGGAGTTAATATGAACTCTGAGTTTTTACAGAGTGACACAAAACAACCAAGTTTCAAGTTACTCATAGATTCCAACATTTGCTCCATTCATATTCCATGATTTTCTATCACTTAATTCGTAAGGTGTGATGAGGCTACACACTAGTGCACTGGGGTGTGCTGGATGGTATCAGCCGCACAAGACATTGCCCATCACAAAAGTAAAATGCTTGATTTAGTAGTATGTTTTTTGTTGTAGGAGAAAAAATTGCTGCAGTTCCAAATGCGTGTATTAGCACAGATACAGGAGAGAAAGAAGAAACTGCAAAAGATTCCTTTTGACTTGTAGATGCTTAAAAGTTTACAATCAGTATTTCCCTATCCTAAGTTACTGAATGTTAGCTCTTGCACAATTAGGACTGCGGTACTGACTATATAATTTCTTGATTTATTTCCTCTACTGCTGATATATCTAATATCAAGAAGCTTTAGTGGAAAAGCAACTAATTAATATTCTTGTAAATAGAGGGTAAAAAACTTCTTAAACTATTTTTAAAAAGAAAAGGGAAAAAAGATACAAGATTGACAGAGTAGTGAACAGAAGATGTTGAAGTAGGGCTAGCATAGAGTAGCAGATGGTGTGCTAGGGAAAGATGCAACTACCCTACTTGAGTACAGGGGAAGGGAGAAGATATAATTAGCTCTGCTACCTGTAGTTATGATTTCTTATCTGCAAGCAGCTGTTGAACTGCTTATGACTCCTGGTTATTCTACTCCTTTCTACCATGTCTGGAAGTAGTTTGTAATTTCTTTATTCTCAGACTTTGGTCAGACCAGGTCAAACACTGCTAGTTAAGGAATTACCAATGTATGTATGTGTAAATTCCTGTGCTCCAGCCAAGAATCTGGAAATGGATTATCATTCATTGGACTTTCCTTATGCATGCAATTTTCCTGCCAACAGACAGCAGACAAGGAAGAGTTAAAATTCAAATGTCTAGTTTCCTCCTCCAAGTTAGTTCCAAACCTTGAAATGAATACCAGACAGACTGCTAATTCTAAAGCTATCAATATTTTGCAAAGTAAAAACTCGTATCAAAGTTAGGCTGCCCAGGAACCTAACACCTTCTGCAAGCTAAGAAGGCTCTTATGAGAGAACATTTATTGGAAAAAGACAGTCCCAGAACTGTGTATCAATTCTCTTTTTTTCATATGTACTACAGAAGAGCTAATTTAGGGATAGAGTACACTGAAGTTAAATTGTATAAGCTCAGAGTATAAAGGCTGAAAAACACAGTAAAGGATCCCAAACGTATCCCAAAGGTTTTCTTTTGAACTTTTTACAATCAATTTGCTACCACCCACCTGCAATACCTCTTGCACAGGTTACCAGTGTTAACATGAGGTACCTGTTAACATGGGTGAAGCTTGAACTAGGCAGGCTGCATGCCCTACCTAAAAGGAGACATTTTTTAAATGCAGTATAATCTGAAGCAACCTAAAATACAAGAGAAAAATAATGTCATTTGTTTATTTACATTTAGTAGGAATGTTTGTCTTCTCAGTGACTGGAAACAGGCAAGAGTTTAGAAGAACAGTGGAATTTGAAATTCAAAGAGGTAACTCTGATCTCCAACTAATACACTATGAATTTATTGCAGTAATACAAAATGCCTTGTTTCTTAGAAAATAATCACTTCATTTAGATTAGCAGCAACTGGAACCAAAACTTTTCCCTCCTCAAAGAATAATTTTCTGAACTCCTTAAAGAGCACTGTTCTAGCAAAAACAGAGCATGTGTAAGTCAGGCTATGGAGAATGGCATGAGGGTACTGAATGCAACTGAAAATTAAGTGACAGAAAGGAACTGAAATATGCCTATGTTTGGGGGACAAACAGCTTCCATACTCACATAGTCTCCCTGGACTAAGCTGTTCTCACTACAGATTTATTTTTTTTCTGGTTACTAGCATAGGAGAATTTGCTTTACTTAAAAAGCAATTAGAAAAAATTTCCTTCAAGTAGGACAGGTTCTGCAATGAAGTGGTATAGGTCTTCTCAATCAACAGTATGGTGAAATGTGACCCAAGTGTACAGACAACTACATCAAAACAAAGAATTCCTGGTTCCTCCAAAGATCCCACAACACAAGAGCAAGGTTTTAGCATAATTTTTTGAAGGGAAAAAGAGAATCATCCATTTCAGAGAAAACTGAAGGTAACTGCGGCTTCCTGCTACATCTGCTCCTAGAGAAGAGAGGGTCTGTTTCCTGATAGGGAAAGAAAAAGTGGTCTCAAATTTGAGAGTTAAATGACATCCTAACAAAGCAGAATCATACACTATTTCAATGGAGTTCAGGACATTTTCTAAATCTAACAACAGTTATCCCAAAGTAAATACTAGAAGTTACTGCAGTCAATAGAAGCATAGAGATCTTACACCTGGGATTCTTATCACAGACCATATATTGATGCTTACATGGGATTTGAGGCATAGTCATCATTTTTGGATTAAGGACTCCTCCATTGTCTTTATCTAAACATAACAAAATCCAGGACAGTTCTTTTAACTAAACTGATTCGCTTCTTTTTGCTTCCAAATAATGCTTTGGTTTTTTATTCTACAGAAACTTTTTTTAAGGGAGGATATCAGCTACAAGCCCTAGGTAAGACATACAGAAATGTGGTGAATGATCACAGGGGATCAACAGATCAGAAACAAAAAAATTGTGCCACTACACGAATTTCTACTGAGAAACAGCAGAATCTCATAGAAACTTCAGCAGGAAGAAACATGGACGCTAGAGTATTAAGTAGTCTGGAAGAAAGGTTCTTGTGAAGAGAGATGAAAAAGCTATGGGTCTGCTCAGTTATGTCAAGCATCTGCGGCCAAAACACATAATGCTTAAGTGTTTCTCATCTCAACAGAAGTGGCATGTAAAGAAACCTGCACAGACCACCTCGTGAGAGAGTGGAAGCAATGAAGAAGGCTGGCTCTTCTGGCAGAACTGGACAGTATGTTCGATGAAAACTAAGAGAAATATGATTCCAGTTTAGGAAATTTCAGCTTACCTACAAAGTAGATGGATTAAATAAGGATATCAGTTTTTTTGGGGTTTTTTTTACAAAATTGTCCCGCTGAAGAATACCTGGACATGAATATATCATAATAACATGAATCAAGAACAGAGGTCAACAAAATATGTTTGACTACAAATATTGAAACTATCCTGAACAGATGAGTCAGTGAGATATAGACACACATCGTAGACAGTCCAAAACAGATGACTAAGAAATTGTGCACATACTGAAAAATGAAAAGGCAACATGACCTCTATTAATACATGATTTTCATGACATCAGGGTTGCTTCTATTCCTGTTGAAATAGATTTGTCTGTTTTTTCAAGAAACTTTTTTGGATTTCATACTACTAGTCAAGCTTTAGAACAAATCAAAAGCAAAGCTCAAAAATGTTCAAGTCTGCTAGAGAATACTAATTATATTTAGTGATACAGATTTACATCTTCCATAGAACAGTAAAAGAAAAAAAAATCCATCTATCACAGTTATTCAATTGTTTGATTTTACAACTGCACACATAAACTGAAAAAATTTACTTACTGGTACAATTTGAAAATGTTTTATTTTTAATCCATGACTCAATGACAATACAAATGTTTTGGGGTTACTTTGGCTATCACGTACCAGGAATACCCTAAAAGAGATTGAAAATTTTCACAGTAAGATCACTTGAAATCCTTTTGTAAACATCCAGTTAAAACTGTTTGAAATTCATTACAGTAAGTATTAGTGAAAAGCAAAAATAATATCAATTACGTAAGTTAGGCTTTTAATCAGTATTTCTTTGCAAATGTGTCACTGGGAATACTTTCTCTTAAATTCTTCACCTTGTCTATTATGTGAAAAACATGCATTCTCAGAATAAATGACACTGTAGGCGTTAGTTTTTACACTGCATAGAATTACAATGCATCTCTTCAGACAGAAAAGCACCCTCAAAGTTTGTGCTTTGAACAAAAATTTTTTTTGGACTCTGACAGTTATCTAAATTGCAAGCATTATAGGGAAAATTCAAAAAGGTAGTTAAACAGGAATTTTACAGAAAAGGTAAGAGAGACACCAGAATGTTTTCCTCATCTGGCCAATACTCATAAATGAACACTCACTTCTGCACAGCACCAAAATTCCCACCAAGACATAGTTACATCCTGCTTGCTTTATGGAATCATTATTCAAATCACAACACTCTCAATGGCCAACAGTGCCACCGCAACTAGTTCACTGATAACTTATTCCAACCAGGACATCGACAAAAACACAATTTTGCTGTAATTGTGATAGAATAATCTGGTGCAGGAAAGGATGATTATCAATATGAGACAGTTTTCATCAAATCCCCTAGTTTGGAATATCAGCAGAGAACAGTTTGGTGGACAGAGGGAAGTACCTGATAGATAGCTTTGTAGTGGAGAGAGTATGAACTGCTTGCACTGTGCAGGTCTGGAACTGTTGTAGCTAACCAATGTACCAAAGAAGTGAAATAGAGAGGCAGCCACTGGCAAGCATGCTCCTCTTTCAGGACACAAAAGAAATGGGTAAGATGGACTTGCAGGTATCAATCGAGCATTAGTGAACACCTACTTTTATCCCACCACACACCAAAAATGAGAGCCCAGCTACTATACATGAAAATAAAGAATTTCAGGCAAAGAAAGCCACCCGAGGTTTACAGTGGATTTTCACTGTATTTGCATGGTTCCAAAGTACCAATTTCATTCTCAAAGTTTGTTAAGTGTTCTACTTTTTCAAAGTAAGAAAATAGTTGGAATTAAGAAATTTGGAGTCCATAATCATTACCATTTCTATCAAAATTCTTATCCAGACTAATTTGGAGCTCTGATAGTAATTCAGTTATTCCAGAGGGATAACTGCAAACTCAGCATAACGGCAGTACAAGTACAAGCCAGACGTCTCCACAGCCGCGGGCTCCGTGAGCTGGCTCGCTCTCACCACCTAGTGGCTTCTCAGCCTCTCCGGGACATGAAGGAAATTGTTCAGAACACAGTTACGACAGATTCTTTGCATTAAATGACACACAAAACACATTGATTAGGATTTATGGTCCCACTCATCAGTTCTTTTAAAGTATATTTTCTTACTTTTTTCCTTAACAGCAAAGATAAGCAACATTTCTTCTCCTTCAGATAAAAAAATCTTTACTCTTTTCTAACCTTAACACAACACACCTACTTTAGTTGTCAAAGAACCTTTAAAAACTTTATTATGAAGAAAGAGTTGTAGTTCACAGAATCTTAGAAATGTTGGCTGGAAGGAGGTTTTTAGACACGCTGGATTACTCCAGTCAACTGCTCCCTAATAAAGTTCTCTGAATGACCAGTTGCATTTTCTCATGGGCCTTTTGGTAATTCTCTTATCCCATTCATCAACCAGATGCTGATCAGTTTGCAATCCTGTTAACCATTTATCACTGAAAAGTCTTCAAACATCCTTTAGAAGGTAAAGTACAAAATCTACAATACTGCTATGTAAGCTTCTTTAAGAAAGTTGTTTTTTACACCAGAACAGGAGATTCAAAAACTTTATTCCTTCATAGGGTGCCTTAAGATGGTTGCTATCCTTAATTCTGTTGTTGGGTTATCCAAATACTGAGACTACTGTAGATCCTTTATATAATAGTCCCCTTATCTTCTATAAACTATCACAAACAACATATTTGTTGGTACATACGGTATTACATAGCCCCTACTACCTCTGTCATATATGCACAAGAACTCCTTGCTTGGGATCACCTTAAAAGGCTCAAGATGGATTATTCTCCCTGCCCCCCCTTCCAGAACATAAAGTCTTATTATTCCCATCAGAAATGGTTGTATTTCTGGTTATAATTCATTCTTTCAGCCCATCAAAAAGAACAGCATTAGTCACATGATGTCATGTATTCATTACCTCATTGTAACTCCTGAATATGTATCTGACAGCATATGAGAGCTCATACTACCAATGTTCTAATCAATCCTAGACAGTCCTCACAAGAGTATCATCCTTCCCAAAACCACAGTGCACAACTATGAATAGAGCCAAGAATATCATGTAAACAACACTGTACTAAACTAATGCTAACAAGGTATTCACTTCAAATTTCAAACACCATTTCAAACACCATGTCATTTCAAACACCATTGCTCTTTACTCGCCAAATCTCCTGGGTTTCATCTACTGTGTAAGAAATACACTGGAAGATTAGCAGGCCTGGAATGACATCCTGCTCAGAAACACATGGGGGATGCAACCCCATGTCCTTTCCCTCTCATGTAACAAATGCAAAAATAAATGCAGAGTACAGAATCAGTTTCAAGATGATTAGCCAGGCCTAAAAACTGGACCCTTGAAATTAAAAAATAATTAAAAATACAAAAGCAGAAGACCAATTAACAATCCTTGCACTGAGTATGACTGGGTTTTTCCCCCTTTCCTTCCCTTCACATTTTTTTTTCCCTGGAGCCCTTTCTGTAGATGTAGAAAATAGTATTACAACATACTAAATCTAAAACTGAAGGAATTTAACCAGCAATCTGATGTTCCAGGTACTTAACTGGAAACAGACTCAAAGAAACAGAGTTTTACGGAATTACTCACTTGGAAGGAGGTCCAAGTTTACATTTAATACAGGAGTAAGGATAAAAATACAGGAACGAAAACCAGGAGGATTTGAACATAGAATACCTGCTTACTTTGTAATTTTTTTTAAAATTAATACTTAAATGAGAGAAAAATAAAAGCCTTTATCCTATTGTTTATTGTTTACTATTAAAGGATGATACAATTTTTAGTCATTTCACAAGAAAAAGCATATTTTTTTTTCAGTGTCTGTCCCAGCACAGTTCATCTCAGAATAATCTTTTCAGGCTTGCTTTCATTCTTTCATCACTAAGAGATACAAAAGACACTAGTGCCAAAGTTGACAGTTCCCAGAGAATATTGTGCAAATACAGAGCTCAAGTGCTTGGCTCTGAGCGGACATAAGTAATCGGTCAGTGACAGAATCGAAGTCTTAGATCACCACTTTATTGCTTCCAAATGATATAAAATAGAAAGCAACAGATCCCCAGACAGCCCTATATAAAAGAATTTTTATTCCTATTAGGTTAGTGCAAACTTTTCCTTCTTCCAACTCCTCTCCAATAAAAAGCAGGAGTTGTTCACTAGGAACGTCTCAAAAAAGCCATGCAAAGAATTAACTTACCCATCTACAAGTCCATGCTGCAAAATAAGTCTCTGAGCCTCTTCTCTAGAGATTTTATGATGAAACCACGACTGAGATCTGTGTATAGCTATAGAAATAAAGATCTATGAAAAACATTCTCCTTTTACTGAAAGAACCAGTTATTCCATTTCTCTAGCAATAAATTAACTCACACATACCCATGTTAGACATGGCAATAGGACTACCACGTGAGTTGAGTCGGAGACACCCTCTCCTCTGTATGAGAGAGAAGTACAAACATGATTTCAAAGCTTTTCTGTTAAAAAAAAAGCAAATCAGAAAATACTCTTCTGATAAAGCAAAGGTGTTTATACCCGCCATGCTAATCCTTCTTCAACTGCAACTGAAAGGACTTCCGTTGGATTTTCTATAATTCTGCTTCTGTGTCCTGAGAAATCCATTGCTACTAAAGAATTTTCTGAAATGCTTCTCTGCAACAAAGAAAAATAAATTTAGTTTGCTCATTTTTTACAAGATCCATCATTAAAAGCGAGCTTCTGAGAAAACACTATGTTTTGTAAGTTATGTTTCAAGTATCGGCAGTGTTTCCCATCAGAGCCAAACTCATTTTACCCCAGGGAGCATTTGTAATTCCAGTATGCTGCTGCAAAGCTCAATTTTACAATGTGGCAGGACAGACCATCTTTTTGCATTACTGCAATGGATGATAAATACATCACTTTACCATAAACTCTATTTATATTTTTAACTATAACTAGCCCTTTGCACATCAAAGCAAGTCAGGAAACTGTAATTCAGATGTCCAAGTAACAGAAAAAGAAGAAAAAATATAAAATTCTTATACATAATGATCAAATTTAAAAAGATTCAAATTATTTCATTATAAATGTCATAAATTTATATATTTGATATATAAACTTCCACTCAGATTTTACCAGATTTAAGCATTGAAACCAGCAATTTCTATTGAGTATAACTTCTATTTTAATACATCCCTTCTAACTCCTATCACAGACTCAATAACTGCAGCATCAGTTATGAAAGAAAACTTGTGTTTTTTCTCTCAGTGACAACAGAATAAAAACACTGAAGTTTGATAAAACAGTCCTAAAAATCACCAAAATGTTTCTCAGAAACCGAGGTTTACAAAATTAAGTTTCGTATGGATTGTGACAGCTCAAATGTTGGCAGGCACTGGAATATATAATAACTAAAAGAACATTTTAGCACTCTACAAGTTAAAGTAACATCTGTACACAAGAGGCCCAGATTTCTGTAGGGTTAGCAAAACTTCCCAGTCCCAAACCAAAGCAGCTCTGTTTTGTTCTTGCTTGGTTACAAGCATGAATACAACTAGAAATGGAAGAGAGCAATTCTGTAGTTCAGGGTAATTCCTGATACTCTAAGGTCTCTCTGAGTAACTGTAACCTGTAAAGAACTTTGCAAAAGTAAAAAAACAAGGATAAAATATGAGAAAATGGTTGCCTCCAGCAAAGTGGAGGGAACTCTTCGCAGCTGACATGGTTGAGAGTTATTGAGGAATGCAAAACATGGATGTGGCTCCCTTCTGAAGTATGTTCATTAGTGTGTGCACTTAATCCCCAAGTTTATTCAATATGCTGTTTAATTTTTAAATTATACACAAGTAGGAAAACAGTGCCATTGTTAACAGTGCTTACAGATTCTGCCTGTGTTAGAAGCTATGGGAGCTAAATGCACACAACAGTGTAAGAGGAGAGAATCAGTAATGGCTCCCAGATCCACTGTAGGAGCACAGCTGCCAATTGCAACAGCTTCACAGAACAGAAAGTAAAGACACAGTCAGCATATTAAGCACAATTCTGAAGCCATGCTTATTAGCAATACTACTGAAAACTATTTTTGTGAATGTCTGTAATAGCAAATGAGGGGTTTAGGCATTTTACCAGCAAGAACTATAATAAAAACTAAAAAAAAATCCACCGTAAAATCATTGTCACAGGTCCCCGCAACAAGCAATTTTTATCCAATTTAGCCAAAAAAAAAAAAACAAAATGGATATACATCATCCATGAAAAATTCTGAAATCAAATGACTCCTAAAGAACTGGGATAACATAAGATATTAAAGAAAAGGAAAATCCCAACTATCTGAAGTCCAATCAGTATTACACCACCTGAAATTCATCTCAAGTACTTAATATTTTATATTTTAAAAAAAATTTAAATACGAAGTATGCTGAAGAGAATTTTTTACAAGCTGTTTATTCACCATTTACAGCATGTGTAACCTTAAACACTCCTCTTTTAATGCATTTATAGTTCTGCTGCTTTGTTTTCAAAATCCTTTTTCCATTCTTTTTGACAGCAGGAGATTTGACAAAGGGGAAAAGCCTTTTAATTGCTCTGAACTACCCAATTTCTATTAAGTAAGTAAATTAATTAATTAGCTTTCTAGTCAACTCTGACAGCCCTAAAGATTTCAGCAAGCATTCGCACATGCAAGATTTTGAAGGACCAGGTCAGTAGTATAACTGACACAAGTTACTTAAAAACAGCATGACTGCAGAAACATGTATTAATTCATGGAGCTACTGTGGGACATACCATAGGTGTTAAATTCAAAGGGCTGCAGCCACTTCTACCTTGATATGGTTGCATGTAATTCTGATACAGCTGCATCCCATACTAAAATCAGAAAATAACATGGTTAGCATTTTAAATTATAAACTTAAGCCAAGTAAACTTTTTTTTTCAGATGTAAAAGACAACACATTTTTTTCTTCACCATTAAAAACCAGGGACAAATGCTGCTAGGATAAGGAAGTGTACATCCTCATTGTTGCTCCTGCCTTTATAAATGTACATTCTGCATTAAATACTACCCATTTAATATGCCAACTTACCTATTCCTTTTTTGTCACAAACACAGACACATTTTTAAAACACTAAAGTTCCCTTATTTTGTATTCTTGTCCCTTTGTTCAATATTACTCAACAATCTCACTGAATCCAACACAGTTACACAGAAGCATATGCTTAATGTTAAATATTTCCAGGACTGAGGCGTCATTTCATCCCCTACGATCCCCCCAGCAATTTGGTTTCTCTCTGTTCCTTGGGATAAATAAAAATAAGCTTTCAGAGTACAGAACTGATATTGGTATTGCATGGAAACCTAAAATTATACTACTTCTCTACTGCACAGCATCAAAATATCACACACTAAACTTGAGCAAGTTAACTCACACAGAAAAATTACCTTAAGCAACCTAATTGCTGTCATCCAGCAGGTCCTACTTTGTTCATCATCTGCACAGAGCTGTTTCAGGTCTCTGGTTCCTCCTGATTTGTTAGGCTAGAAGGCCACAGCACATTTTTTTAGCATTAATGCATATCTTGAAGATAATACCTGTTGAAATAAAAGCCACTAATTCTCCTATTTTATAAAAGACAGCTGAATATTGTTTTCAAAAACCTTAAAGAAATTTAAGCTTACCTAAAAACTGTGGCTTGCTTTAATATGTATCAGAATAATAAGTTTGTACCTTAAAGCAGAATCCATAGTTTGTTGGTGCTCCAGAAATCTTTTTGCCTGTTAAAGACATGTACATATCACTATTGCTGAATTCACAGAAAAACTGCAGATGCCTTGGCTCCTAAAAAGAAAAGCAATGTAATACAGTTAGACTACTTTTAGCCAGTCTCTCTAGACAAGAAACTCGGAAGAGTAAGTAGTTATTCTGTTCCAAAATACAGTCTTACATACTGCAGTTTTAACTGTGACATCATATAATCTAGAAAGAGGCAATTCAATGTTAATTTTATCATGCAGAGAAAAAAAAAAAAAAACAACAAACTACTTAAAGAGTTTATTCTTCTAGAGAGGGGAAAAAACCAAACTACAAATTATATAATTTTGGGGAAAACTTCCACTAAATTCAAGGCATAATAATAATGTTAGATTAGGAGTCAAATTTTGAGAGCAATATGCATTTCAAAAATCAAAATAAAATATACTTTCACAATCTGAAAAACAACATACTGTAATAACTATTGCCCAGTACTATTCCTAAACATTATCTCCACCACCTAAGGCTAATTATCTTAAGGAAGCAAACAAAAGACATTTGCTGAAGGATACAAAAACAGCTCAATGAATACTCTGGCAGTTAATTACAGCAAATTCAGAACAAGAAAAAACATTGTTTCAAGTAGTTCAGCTACTTAAAAAAGGTGTCTCAACTCCAGTGTTTAATATGATAAGGTTTAAAGTACCACCATCAAAAATTTGAACTAGTAGAATGAAAAACTGTCCAGTGACAAATTCTTAGCAATCCCAAAGTCATCCTATAAACTTTCTAAATTTAGATAACGAAGTACTGTCTACTTTTCAGAGCATCTATTTGTGCTTCAGAATTTTAACTGGTATTTGAAAATTCATTTTAAAAGGGTACTCAACTGATTGGAAAAATATTAACCAGAATGAAGCAAACTTGTCAGGCAAAAAGAAAGTACAGTTTCTAAGATAACACTTTCCCAATTTTATATCTCAATATCTCTCTAGATTATATCTATAATAAACAGATTTATTTTTTCTCTTTTTTTAATTACTATAAGTTATTTGGTTATAAAATTTTTTTATTCTTACAACAAATGATAAATACATACATCTTTGCTCTGACCTTATAGTTCTCACTCTCTCTTTTTTCTTCCTCCCTTACCTTAGAAGTACCTTTAGTGGAAAAATAAAGGCCAGATCTTCTTAAAAGAAAATACAATTTTTTCCATGATTTTTTTGCCTGCTCCTTTGCATGCAAATAACCATGAATCTCAGGATACGTGCTGGAGCTTAGGAACATCTGAAAGAAAATATCAGACATCCATTTTTCTTTTCATCTGAAACCAGCTTTCTGTTTCATTAACATACACAGGACTAAGGGGAATAAACCCCTAAATACACTATCACACCACAGTAATTCAGTTATGATTGCATCTAATCCCATTAGCAGTACCTCTGATTTAAAGCATGTAGAATGTTACACAACTCCAAGGTATGCTAAGCAAGTTACATATTTATATGGAACATATGGTTTGAAATGAGAGCATTACTTCTGCAATATGTTAACTTCAGCAACAAAACCAGTGTAAGAAGTACTGATCCCATGCCTCAGACCCTATTTATATAAAACTGCTAATCAATGCTACCAACAGAAGAAAAAAAATACATCCCTCCCCCAGCCCCATGTTACAAATCAGAGAAGAGAACTTATCTTGAGTTAAAATTATTCAACAAGCAAACCACCAACTCTGAATCACAAATCCATGCAGGTCAGGCAGATATTAGCATTTTCAAAAGGAGGGAGTAAAGGTCTCAACACCTGAAGTGGCACTTAAGTTAGTGCTTTAGCTGAACCAAAACCAGAGAGACTGGGCCAGTCCCCAAGACAGGTCCTGCCTCTACTCAAGATACTCAGTGGCTTCTCTTCAGCCATTTCAATGGGAGTGCAACACACCTGTTATCTTGCTGATAACAAAATAGTTCTACTCAGTCTGCAAAAGTACCCACTAAAAGCTAGCAATCACGTTAACTTTATTCTAATTCTTTGTAATGCGTTCATTTTTATCACTCTTCTTCCAATAAAACTACTCAGAACTATGATTCTAAACATATTAACCCAGAATTCTTCAATTTCCATATATATGCAAAGCAATCTGTGTTACTACCAAGGTCTTCAAAGAACCTTGCCCCAGGCCAGCCTGTGGTATCACAAATACTATCTAGGCTTACGTAGAGGTAGGGATCAAAGGGTTTTCTGTTCGATATCTGCAGCTTTCATGGCTGAATTTTCTTCCTATCCACTGCCATTTCCAGAAAATCTGAACGAAGCAACAGATTACAAGGCAAGAGACAGACTGGCCAGTACCAGACTGCAGCAGAATGAAAAAGTGAACATGATTTTGGAAGTACACCAAGTTCTCTGGCCACTAAATAATGCAGTCCAACCAAGCTACATAAGGTTTCTTTGACGTTTATTGTTTTCCTACCTTGCAGTGAAATGCAAGACTGTACCACCTGCAGACCAACCTGAGCTGGTGTCAATGCAGTACCACGGGCAGGCTCCACTGGCCAGGGGAGTGCCCTAGCCCACAACCAGGAATGTGCTATGAGCAGCTCCACTGCTATTCACCCAAATAGTTAAATTACAGCAAAAATAGGTACATCTATCTACATGTGCTGCTGGCACACAGCTGTCTGCAAATGTAGTTTAAGCTATTTTAGCGACATTGAAGCAGACGGGTAGGTCTTGGTAGGCGTTCCAGCCTGTTAATCTTCCCATTTGCCACATATTAACAGGTTCACTGGTGGGGAATATAAAGGCTGAATTGAAAAAGTATAAAATTCACAAACAAAGTCAAATGGAAGCTTTAGGATAATCTGAATGAGTCAATGTATGCAAAAAACAAAAGAGCATCTTTTTAGGCTTTAATATCTCTGCTGAAGCTGGAAGGAGTGGTTGGCTTCCTGCCTGCACAAGTGTCTTCCCCAGGATTCCTGCCATAAGAGCTTCAAATCAGAAATTCTGTCATGAAAAACACTTTTCTTACTCAGCAGACCAAAGTCGAGGAGCAATACAATGCTAAGCTTCAACAGTCACTGTTGTACCCAAGCTATCAATTAAAATAAAGTAGCAATAATGCTAGGAAAAAGGCAATCCTAAATCCATCTTTTCCTTTCTGAGACATCTGAGGACTGTGTGAGAAAATAGAACATGAACAAGCTGTAGTCAAAACCATTAACTGTCAGAAAGATGAGCAGTAAAAATATTTCAGAGTGAGAACGGAATGTCTGTAATAAATGCCAAAAATGAACGACAGTAGAAAAGATACCTTCCTTGAGGTTCTTTTGTTGCAGGTTGGTTTTCGTCAGGTTTTTTGTGGCTGTTTTGGTTTGTTGTTTTGGGTTTTTTTAGTGAAGGTACATGCAAGTTTACAATAGAAGGGAACGGATCCCTGTTTATGCAGATAAGAGGTAATCGTAATAGGGCAAAAATAAGAAAAATCTCCAATACTTGAAGAAAAGGGGAGAGTTAAATGATGGTATGCTGCAGACAGGGATTAGTGGTCACACAATATGAAGAAATAAACTTGCACTCCTTGCACTCTTTTCCTCACACACTGAAATATATAACATGATATGTAGAGTGGTGTCAAATGCCACCCTATCTTTCAGATACTAATATATGACAGCACCAGGGACTTGATTACCATTTGATTAGCTGTAAAACCAACTAATTTAAAACCAATCAGAACACAAAACAAAGCAAATGTCTTTTTTTTTTGCAAAAAAACCCCTAAACAAATAAAATATCAAATCAATCAGAAAGTGAAAAAACAACAAAACAGACAAAACATTGCAGTGTGTCAGATGAATATAATAATATAAACTGCAGAAATCACACGTCACTGAATGCAATAAAGATTGAAAGCTGCACTCCTAACTATACAACTTATTTGTCTGCATCTTCCATGTTTTCAAGGAGAGAATGGTTGCGGTAACAGAAACAGGAACATCTGCTAAAGTGAATGCTTCTTGAGCATTTACAAAGTATTTTAAAGAGTTAAAGAAGCCATCATTATCCTAAGACTTTGTGACTCAAGTTGAATTTGATGACTGATTTCCTCACAGATGTGAGACAGCTGGCCACAATCCAGACCAATGCTATTGGGAATGAGCTGGATTTTACCCTGAACCTGCTGAGAAATTTTGGGAGCACCAAGTAATTCTAGTGAAGAACTGATTCTGATTCTCAGAATTGTCTCCTATAGACCTCAGTCAACCTGAGGAGTTTAAACCAGGAGAAAGGCCAACAAAACCTACAGTGGAAGATGGAAAAAGGCAACAGGCAGATAAAAACAACATCCAGGAGATTGACAAGGGACTGAAATTCAGTGCACGGCTATTTCGGCCTAAAGACTGGAATGGTGGAGTCAGGTGAGAAACTAGCCAGGGAAAGAGAGACTTTATATGGCAGAGCGATTAAAGACATTAAAGCTTGGCTCTTAATAATAATCTTAAAATCTTCATACTATATTCATTTTTTGACATATTTTAAAGCATCCAATTTGCAAAAATAACCTGAAGCAAGTTCCAAATGATCCATATTGCCTAGCACTAGACATGTACAGAGTGTTGTGTCTCAGAGCAGCTATACTGTAATCAATACAGCGACACACTTCTTTCTTAGGCTAAAGATCTTCACAGCAGCGATTAAACCTCTCTCTTTGGGATACATAGACATTCAGTATATCTCAGACCTAGTATTTTTACTTAGCACGTGCTAAATGGATAAGAGACAGGTGAATTTCTTTTTGGTTTTGTGGCTCTGTTCTACAAAGATGCCCTGATTTAAAGTCATTAGCCAAAATACTCACTCTTTCACTTTCAGTGAAAGTCAAGAAAAACATACCCAAAAAACATTTTACTTGCTTACAGCTCAATCCACAAAAAGCTGTAATAGTATCAGAAGTGATTTTTTAATCACTTGTAAGCATTGAGTTGTTAAAACTAATGTCTCTCTTGATACTTGACTAAGCACATCACAAATAATAATGCAAGCCCATTAACTTGTCTTAATGAGAGTTTCCAAGGAAATAGTGACTCACTGTAAACAATTTACCCAACAGCTTCTGCTGAAACGTGCACAACGGCTGCACAATCCACCAAGGTATTCTCTACTTTGTGCCTACTAAGTTTTATTTGATGAAATACAACTAAACATACAATACAACATAAAAGAGCAACAGAGGAGAGTTTGCAACATATTTTTCAAGCTATCAAAATGGAAAGTAACTAGATATATTTAGAATGATTCTTAATCTTACCCACAAGCTCGGCACATGTTCTAGATATCACAATATGGGCTTAAGGAAGTTCTGTGCAAGAGTATATGGCAAACGGTTCCCTTACCAAAGTCTTTATTATTTTTTTCAAACTACCAAATTATATTTGAGAGCAAAAAATATAAAGTTCTATTAATACAGGGGACAGGATTTTCTAAGTGAAATGTTTATGTTAGACTGCAAAATCTATTTGTTGTTTAGGTAGCAAAAGTGGACCAATTTTCAGTAGACATGCAGCACTTCTGAAATTACAAAGATTTTACTTAGGTTTGTAAAAACGACTTTCAGATTCTAGTGGTTGTCAAATTTAATTTGCAACATTTTTTACTACATTTGGGACAATCTTAACCTCTTGATTAACATTCACTTTTATAAGGATACAACTATTTAATACAGAGAAATCCTTTGAGAATTAGTTCTTTAAAATGTTTTTCATTTACTGGTGGATGCTAAGGTAGACTTTACTAGATTGATTTTCAAAAAAAATGTAATTTCTGTTTCTTTTACTTCTACCTTAAATATCCTGTGTTACTATGCTGCCTTTCCAGTTATTCTTGATCCCCAAAACTCATACATAGTGGTGTTGTCTTAAGATCAGTGGAAGTTCTTCTTCTATTATTTAATTTTTCTAGTGACAAGCAAACAAGAGTGATGTGTATGTTTCCACCTTTATTACTCATTTTCCCCCTTTGAAAGTAAAACGATGATCCCTGATATGGTCATTCTGTATTACCATTTCATTATTCTCACTGTAAATTAGAATCTTGTGTCTGCTTAAAAGATGACTAACACTGAGTGACCTACCATAATTTTTTTTGAAGGCTACAGTAGCCTTCAAGCTAACAAATCATACGAGTCAGTCTAAATTTTCTACTCATTAAGTTTAACCATTTAGCTCTTTTTTATATCCCTTTGTATCACATTACCAGTTCTTCAGTATTCTACCATAGCCTTCTGCTAAGTATGTGCTGAGTACTGCAATACTTTTAAAGGAAAAAGGGTCTTTCACCTAAAATACCCAATAAAGGTATTTAACATTTTCACTGCATTTTGTCTGTTTTGGTGCTTTTGATTCTGAAAGAATGTGAAAGTTTGCAAGTGTGGACATACAATAACTGCCTGGAAGGGACATAGCATTTCATATCTCGTAAGGAAAAAAGTTTTTAACCATGTTTTGAGTTATTCAAAACACAGCAACAGATCCAACAGCAATAAAGAACTATGCTCACACAACACAGACAATGGGAAATTCTGAGCTATGCTGGCTCATCTTCATTGAAGGGTTACATACCTGTAATATCCCAGAGTGGCTTAGAGCAGCATTTGTCTCACTTGGAAAAGATATCATATGATCTGGAAAAAAGTTCTATAACAACAAAAATTTGTATGAAAGTTCTGTAAAAATAAATATAAAACTTTCTATCTCTTTTGGATGTCCAATTTAAGTTCTCAATGCGGTGCAAGGCACTGCAGATTCCCTGATCCAATAATTTAAGCTTACCTTAATGTCATCCCAAAATTTGTGACATCCTATGTATTATTTGCTGAAAAACTTAGAATTTTGAGAAAACATCAGTGGTCTCTGGAAGAGAATTTCAGACAGCAGTGCAAATCATATTGCAATATTTGGGTCTCATATTGCAATATTTGGGCCTTAGTGTTGTTTTTCTGGTAGTAATTTCTATTGCTGTTGACACAAAAGACTTGCCTGGGGATTCAATATGCTACAAAATAGGGAGGATATACACCAATGTGCTGAAAAGTATATTGTTTTCTATTGTTTCCATTACACAAGGAATAAAATAAAATAAACCAGTAAAATATTTTGGAATAACTTCCATTAATGCAGAATAAGTCTTTGTGGTTTTTAATTTTCCACTTTTTATGATATGAATTAACATAAAAATCTGACTACATCAACATGATGAGATTAAAAAGTCCACATTTAAAATGACTATTTCATTATGAAGGAAAGCTCAAGACCTGCAGCTGAGGAGTTCAATATAGTCATGCAGATATGAACCAGACAAGGGGTTAACCATCAAAAATAATGTTTTCTCAAGGCCTGGAGAAGTTTGAAGCTAATATTCCCTTGGCCACCCAATGTCCACTGATTTCCATTTTTAATAACACTGAACTACTGGTAGGGTAATTCATATAAATTCATTCTGATAAAGCATTCTTGCTACACCTGGGACCACAGAAGAATCACTCAGCAGGAACAGCAAGAACTCTAATGAGCTACAGCTGCTGACTCTAGTTATAGCTGCATGCCTGCCACACTCCACAGCTGGTTCCACTCACTGGTTAACCAATACATCAACTCAGTCTTTGGAGGCAAGAGAGAGAAACCGATGCACAGGAAGTCCCAGCTGAATATGAGGAAGAACATCTTTATTGTGAGGGTGACCGTGTACTGGAACAGACTGCCCAGAGAGGTTGTGGAGTCTCCCCCACTGGAGATATGCAAGAACTGTCTGAACACAATCCTGTGCCATGTGCTCTAGGATGACCCTGCTTGAGCAGAGAGGTTGGACCAGATGGCCCTGGTCCCTTCCAACTTTACCCACTTTGTGATTCTGTGAAAGCTTCTTTACTAACTCTAGACCATCTCAAGCTAAGAAATTTTTTACTGGTGTACTGATATCTCCATATGTGGGGAGTACATGATTTGTCCAGAGATACACAGGTGAATCAAACATAAAATCTCTCAAATCTCTTATATTTTTTGGTATCCTTATATTTACCTTTTTATCCTTTTCACAGGTAGATAATTTGAGTTCCCTTCCACTTGTTACCTTTTCAGCCCTCATACATTTCTGCTGTTTCTCCCTTTGATATCTGAAATAAGCTGGCTTTATAAAAGACTGGACTGGTCCAAATACACCATGCACTTGAGCAACCAGATGGTTTCTCCTGCTGAGCCAGGACTGCTTCCATGGCCTTTGCCATCAGCCAAAGTCTGAATCAGCAGCATTAACCTTTGGCTACATCCCTGTGTTACAAGTCGTCTCTTCTCTCTTTCCATTCCTTATGTACACTAACTTTCACTTACCCCAAATAGGCTATGGCTGCTCGTGGTCTTTTGTGTCAGTTGTCATTTAGCTGCAGCTGGGATAAGCTGCCACTGGGCAGCGCTGGGCCATAATATTCAATCTGCACTTCAACAACAAAATCATCTTTGCTACAGGTGCCCCTCCTCACACTGCTATTTTGTTGCCACTTGACGGAAAGTTCACTCAATTGCAAAAAATTGATTTTGTCCCAGGTCCGTGTGCAATAAAGTTAAACCCATTGCTGACCCCATGACCCTTTAAACAATAAAATATTGAACATGCATGTTTTACAATTGCAACAAAGGGACTGGCCAACAGTTATATGCACTACAATATATTCCCATATTTCATATATTCCCTCTCAATAATTCCTTTTGACTGATGTTACGCTAACAACTTTACACTCTGCCTATCTGTGTGTAACAGAAAAGACTATTTTATCTTTGCACTACGTCACAGATACAATGTTAGAACTTACCAGGGGATTTTTAAAAAACTCATACTTGGCATAATTTTTTCTAAAATAGAGTTTGGTTTCCTCTTCCATTACCCAATTTGATTGAACTTCCATCACTAATTCATGGTCTTCTATAGCTCTTCCTGTAAAAAAAACACAAGCAAATTAAAAGAAAAGGCAAACAAAACCCACAAAACAAACAAACAAACAAAAGCAAATATCAAGCTCATGAATAGCAGAAGACCAAGAACTCTCCTGATCCGCAGATCAAGTGGAGCAAAGTTAAACTTCCATTGAATTTAACTCCTTTTTCATTGAATTTAACTAATACTTGAGTCCATAAAGACAGAGATTAAGGATGCTATATAAAAATCACATTTTGTAACCAGATTAAATGAAGTAAATAAAATCATAAAGCAATTCAGAAAACAAAAGATGCTCCAAAAATACCAAAAGAAACATAAGGATTTTAAAATCTTGTACAGGCTTCTCTACTCCAAAACACATTCTGTAGATGCAAGGGCAAAGAGACACTAAAGAACTGATGCTCTTACTTTTTTTTTTCCTTCCAATTTTATAGAGAGAAAGTGCTCCTCTGGGGTGACATTTAAAACTCTTAAATGGCATTGTGACATTTAAGAAAACACCATTTCCTCAAGACTTACTTCTTAGTAGAAAAATAAGACATTCTCCATCCCCTCAATGGATGGGTAAGGATGCTGGTATTTCTTTATTTTTAAGGTGTCACAGCAGAGAATATTTTACAAGTGAGTCAACTTGCTTTCTTGAAGGAACTGAAACACTGAGTTAGTGCCCTCCAAAACACAATCCTGTAATCAAATCCCTAAATGTTGACATGAAAAAGCTGTACTTCAGTTTAGGTAGATCATTTTTCTCTTCTAGATCAGAGAGCTTCTACCGTCCTTTCTGTGGTCTTTATTATTACTATCTCTAACATGAGAAGCACTTGTTACAATCGAAAACAGTCTCCTTAACTATGGAAAGTAACTAATGCACATAAAAGAAGATTTAATATTGAAGTGCATGACAGAACACCTTTTAGGTAGCCTCCTCTCTGGCCACCCAGCAAGGAAAAAAGTTTAAACTAAATAAAAACCAGAAAGCCATTGCTCAGTATTATTGCACAGGTAGTGCCTTACGAACTTTCCCACAGGCTACCTAAGAGAATGCAGAGAGTGAAATCAAAATGAGACTGAAAGACACCGATGATGAGCCTGGCCAAGGCACTATCACCTATTCAAAGAGGAGCCCTAGAACATGTGTTCAGCCGCAGAAGCAAACAGAAAACCATTTACAGTCAGCACAAAAACTTCTCAGTAGAAAATTCAGGATGAAGACAGTACTTCTCTTGAAAAGGAGAACAGTTATAGTAAACCATTCTGTTTTCAGAGCCTGCCTCGCACAAGGAAATTACACTGAAAGTATGGGACTCCCAGCACCAAGGTACCTGGCATCATCCAAATCTAGGCATGTTTCAGCTGCCTTCAATAATTTTAGACATGGTGAAAAACATTCAAAAATTTATTTATTTGAATCCAATATTTTAAGACAAAGAGGATAGATAGCAAAAACATACAGTTCTGAAATATATTGTCATTTATAAGACTGCAATAATTGTTGTACTTCAGGATTTGAAATAGAGCCCAGGCTACTGCAAAACTTTGGAGGTGAGGAGGAAGTTTGAGCATCCCGGGTGACAAGGCAGTGGGCTGGGTGCAGTGTGGGTGCTCCATGGCAGGCAGATGGGGTGCACCAGCCAGTGCCCCAGGAAGCAGGACCACCTCACCTTGCCCACTTGCCCTGAGCCAACTCCACCTGGTCAGCATCTGCCAGGCAATACAGCAAGGACACGACCATGCTTAATGTTCAACAATATAGCTCCACACCAAAGGGCATATATGTTTGTGAAAACTAAAATATAGAGACTACGGGTTTATGTTTTGGTTTAGGTGGCAGTTTTGCTGGGGTTTTTCCCTTTTTAAACCTTCACAGCAGATACTTCCACACAGAAATGAAGGCACAATCCAGTGATGTAATTAATGTCTGTCTTGATTAAAAGCAGAACGCTGTGCTCAACTCACTAAGATTCATGCAATTATATCTAATTCAGGAGTATTCAGACAGCTGTTAGATGTTAAAGAAAATGTTCACTAATTGACGGATGAATTATTAATCCACATCATACTGGAATTTACACAGACACACACACTCGCTCACAGCTTTCAATACACTCGCTCCTTTCATTAACAATTCACTTAACTTGTGAGATGAAAATGACTGTCCAAATTTACATGAGTAAAACATGCAATAATAAGCAGCAAACAATCCAAAACTAACTCATCATTTGAAAAATGTTTGTTCAAGCCACTCATACAGTGCTTAAGAATATACTTAATGCCAGTCAAGATCAATATGTTAAACCTTTCAAACAAAATCAGATCTAACAGTATCATAAAGATAATTCCATTATCGTTCAGTACTATTAAAAAAAAAAATAGAGGCTATCTCAAGTTGTTCCTTTCCTTGGCTAGCAATGTTGAATTGCCAACCTCATCATCCAGGAAATAATTTTAAAATGAACCTTTTTCTAGAACTATGTTGAAAGCAGCTGGAGCAGTCAGAAGACTGCATGGTGAATGTAGGTCTCCAGCAATTTTGAGAATATCAGAATCTTAGGAAAAGAAACTTCACTAATTATTTGATATTGAAATCCTCCAAGAAAACCTTCAGACTAAAGAAAACAGACTATTTGGCAAAAAGTGTATTGTGCAAATAAATAAACCTGGATAAACAGTGCCACTATTGTTCTGGCACGGTTTGTCAAAGGTGTCTTCTTCAATAGTTATTATGCTATTTAAACACCAGCTACACTATAAAACACAGAAAACACTTTTGCTATTTATGTAGAAGTGTTTTCGAATGCCATTTTGCTACCTCCTCTTCTATTGCAGTTGTTTACAGCCTCGACCCAGATTTAACTCTGACCTTACTCTGCGTTGGAAGCATCTTACAGCTGATACATTCAGTGCAAAAGGTTACAAATATCTTTGAAATGTTACAAAGCAAGAAAAGAAATTTGACAAACGTTTGTGGCTGCCTTCATAGCATAAAGGAGCATAAAAGGGTAGAAACCCATTTTAGCTCTTGTAGTTCATCCTTAAAATACAGCTGTTGAACATAACTGAGTCAGAGATGCACAGTCAAGTTTATTTTCTACAAATGCACAAGGCCACACTCCCTAGATAAATACAGAGAAAGGGACCTTAAAAACAGCTTTTAGACATATTTAAATATCCATAGTTGGGGGGAAGTGTATGGGGGGCATTTGGTTTTTTGTTTGTGGTGTGTACTCTTTTTTTAAAATCAACAGTACCAGAGTTACCAGGTACCAGCGCAGTCTCTTCTGAGAATTAAGAACTTCAAGGAGTTTCCTACATATTTTAGAATGCAGGAAGGTCTCCGGAACATCCTCTTTCTCAAGCCACACTTTGCACTAGCAGCTGGAACTGCCCTTGAATTTGCAGAAGTACTACGTTTTGTAACTCCAGTCCAGTGACAAAGTTCAAGAATAATATGCAAACTTCGGGTGACATGAAATTAAAACCAGATTTTTTACGGTATTTGTCTCTAGTAGATTTTTTTTAATATACTTTCCTATCAAAACCATACACAATACAGTACAGAAACAGAGTGCTGTAAAAGGAGTTAAGATTGTCTGACTAGAGTTTCAGTTCAATACTTCATCCCAGCAGTGCACTTCTAAACTCATCTCTTGCTGAGTGAACTCTTTCCTGAGTGCTGCATTTTTTACATCTCTGAAAACATCCCATTCCTCACTATAACTAATTTGCCTTTTTGTTTTTATACTGCAAAAGTACATCTATATACTTCAAAAAGGAACAGAAACCAGGAGTTAAACTTATGTTCTGAAACCACAGGTTACTTTTAAACTGTATAATAGAAAGAGTTTTATTACACTAGAGGAACACTGATGATGTGAAAGTTCAGAACATTTTGTTTCCAGCAACTTAAAATACATGGAGTCACTTCAACACAGTTCATTGGTCCAAATCTGGAGGTTTAGAAGAATGGTTTTGGTCTGCTTTTTAAGTAGCCCTGTCCCAGAGTTCACCATAAATCCAGTCAAACTGATTGTATTGCAGGAAAATACTGGCAGCCCACTCTGATGTTGTTTCTGAAGACTGAGTACTATTGTCCAGGTAGAATAGCACTGTGTAACTGCTTTCTGTCCCTGATGTCAGAGATTTCACTCAGATGTCTTGGGAACAAACAGGATTTTATCGGCAATGAAAATAACCCAAGTCTTTCTAGAGATAAGCACGAAATACCAATAAGAGAGGAAGGACTGCCAAAGAAAATCAAGGAAGAGCAAGGAAGAATTTGCAGTGAGAATCTTAACTGTCAGTGTCTTCCAAATGACTCTTACAGATGCAGATCAAGCAATGTGAGGCAAATGTACCATTAAAAAATCCACTTTATAGCTATGCTTTCAAAAAAAGAGAATCAGAAGCAACAATCCCCCAAAAGAATAAATTCACGCAAGACTTCCCATCATTTTCCTTTCAAGCCATTCTATTGAAATTGTACTTCTATGTGAAAATGAAAACCAAACACCTTATTTACCACCATACCATTATATAGTATTAGTCTTACCTAAACCTGTGTGGGTAAGTTGTTCAAAGAGAGTCCAGCTGTGGTCATCAATATAGTGGTTCTTCAATATCAAGAGCTGACATACATCCCTGGCTGTTATATCACTGGGTACTTCCAAAGCTCTGCTAGTATCATCTTCACTATACACTTTGATTACCTGCAATAAACAAAAACTCTAAAATATCCATAAGTTTAATCTTTGCTTCATTTACTCCAAATATGTTCCTCTCTCAGCTTCATGACTGAGACAAGAACCCATACACATTGAATGCAATATGAAACAGCCATTCCTCTCCAGTGTAATGGCATAAGTGAGAACAAAACAGCTTAGCAAAGCACATTCCACTTCTAAATTTGGCTACTGGACATCCCTTGCCACAGGACACTGGACAGACTGATGCATTCCCTCTAAAAAAATGTTAATGAAGAGGTAAATAAATGTGGTGAAACCATACATTCTTAAGTAAGCTGAAAAAGAAACCACAGAGCATAAACAGTGAAACTCAAAAACTCTGACTGAAGAACTGCAGATATATCTGATAAAGGAGTTAGTTCAGAGAACAGCAATCAGATTCGAGATGCTCATAATTCTACAGACAATAAAAACAGGAGATGCTACCAAGTGGCTTCAAATTTTGTCAAGCACCGACAACCTCAATATAAAGGGTGTTCAAGATGCTTTTAATTTGTCTCAAAAATACTCCTCTCAGTTTATTCATGAGAATGCAGGACACATCTCACCTGGGCTTCATGCACAAAACCTAAATACCATTGTAAACCCTTCATTAAACGGCTAGATAGAAGTTCTTACTTTAAAGATAAACAAGCATGTTATTGTCAGTCGGTCTTTAATTGCTGCCTTACTGAACACATGCTCATTTCAAGCATCTAATCAACAACCAGCAATGCATTGTTGCCCTAACTTGTTACGGCAGCTGCTTCTCTGGTTTGTGCTGAAGTTGGTAGGAAGGTGAAGAAGGAACTGCAACTGTACCTCCTGCCACCTGCTTCTCTCCCACTAATGGCAAAAATCCAAAAAAAAAATAATATCAGGTCAGCTCACTCATGTTTTCCAAACTTCAGATCAAGGAAAAACAACTCCATTTGAAAACCACACAGAGATTTTAATGCACACTGATGGCCTAACTCCTCTCCAAACACCTGTTTTTTTCAGTGGAACTACATATACAGCAGTTTTGTTACAAACTAAATAAGCATGAAGTCCACGAAGATTTGCTTTAATATTACAGCTATTAAATGACGGCAGCTCAAGAGTTCCATGTGATATTAAGCCACCCTTGCCACAACACCAATCTTCAGGATATAGGAAACATTAAACTCAAGCTCCTAAAACATGGAAAAATCTCTTTGTATTCATGAATCAACAACCTCAAATCTGAGTCTTCCAGGGGAAAGAGGCAGACCTTGGAAAAAGTAGATCCAAGGTTTCCATGGGCCTAAGCTGCAGCCCAGTACTTACATTTAATACAAAAGGCAAAAAGACCACATCACTATTGATTTCAATACTGCCAAAACACCCATGGTTGATGCCTACAGTTGATTTTACAAGATGTCTATCCTTTGGCAGCATTCCCACTGCTAAGCAAGAGAGACCAGCAGCAATGCAGCCTGTTTGCAGCAGAGTCTGATTCCACACACACAACTTAGAAGTCCTACTCCAGTCACACAGAAATTATGTTCAGCCATTCAGGATACACTGGCATGAAATATTTAAATCCCTGCAGTATTTACAAGGATTCAAAGATGAAATTAAAAGAGGTGTCTGGTAGGGTGCACTGTGAATGGGATGGAGCGCTGTAGAGGTGACTAGACAAAACAGCATCCTATCACCTTCAAATAGGTCCTACTCGAGCAGCACTGAAGGTCAGGGACAGTTTCATTAGTCTCTCCAGCAAGCCTGTTTCAGTCTGAACCTAAAGGATTTTACAAGCTGAAGTGCTAGAAAGAAGAGAGACAGTATAGAAAGGGAAAGCAAAGGAGAGAATTAAAGCACCTTTCCAAGTATTGATGATCATTTTTTAAGTCCCTTCCAACTGAAATATTCTACTCTATTTCTCAATATTCTCACAATACAGCCAGGGTGGGAATCCACGTGAGTACCCTGGCTAGGGACCCTATGGCACATACCAGCAACTACAGTTTTCTCCAGGCACTCATCAAGTTTGGTGATATACTTGTTTTACAGCAGGAGCACGTACAGCCCGAGCTGGGGCTCTTGACGGATGATTTTAACAGAAATTCCTCTTAAAAGGGTTAAGAGTCGCAGTGCAGATGACTACACTCTTATTGCTGAAGAAATAGAAAAAGACTTTTTAAAATGCTGAAGACAGCAACACAAGTCATGATAACGAGCTGCCTGTGGCCATTCAGCTCAGGGAGCAGGAAGTCTTGGAGGTGGCCTTGGACTACAGGAGCACAGCTAAAGCAAAACAAAACAAAACAACAAAAAAACAATGAGAAAAAAAAATCAGTTTATATTCTCTGTGAGTATTCTCACTCAGCTTTCCAGTACAGGGAAATAAATCCTGTGCAAGTCTAGGACAACAGACCACCCCAGCTCACAGCTCTGACATCTGCTACCTTATAAAACACAAATGCTGTGTGCTTTTTCTCTTCCTTGCAAGGGATTCAAATGCAGCAGGAGATAATAGACAGTCACCTAATCAACTTCTGTCACAGTTTTTGCCTAATGAATTAAATGTGATGGTGCAAAACTCATCAGTTAGAGTGATTTTTGAGTTTTTTTTCCAATTGGAAGTTGCTCAGTCTGCACTTTCTGTTGTGTTTGAAGCCAAGTCTCTTGTAGGATTTGCTGGGAATGTAGTTATTCCAAGGGGAGTGGATCAGATGAAAAAGGATAAATTCGAAATCCCATTTTTCCTTGGAATTATGTTGCAATACTTCTCTTCCTAGAAATAGAGGATGCTTTAAGAATTAAAGGGTAGAAGGATGCAGCCGTGCTGACCTTCCATAGAGATGAGGAATCTTGAGTGACCACTTTATTTTTATTAGTGGTTATCATGATGCATTAGGCTGGCCAGTCATCTTCACTCTGTTCCATTTTTCTCCCTGAAAAATTTGTCTCAGAAGCAGCAGACAAGAAAAGAGGCGCTAAGTGAGAACAAGCTCTCATTACAGTTTTCATTACCATACACTCTCAAACTTTGTTCTAAACCAAGCTGTTTCACTTTCTTTGACTATACCTATTAGGAGACAGAAAAAATTACCTCAGTAGCACTTAAATCTTCTTCTTTCCTCTCTAGTTTATAAATACAAGGAGATTTTAGTTCTTCCCAAGGCCAGAAAAAGGAACACCTCAATAGCTTCTATTTCAGTCACTGGAAGTAAGAAATAAGCAGGTCCAAGATCTTCCTATCAGAGGAAATCACCGGGCTCAGCATGACAAGCATTAATTGTTTTCACTGCCTATGGGAGCAGTCAAGGAGGTACAGAATTCCTACATATCCCCTTTCCATTTTTCAATATACTAAAAATCAGCCAAGATCCCAGAAGTATGTGCAACACATCTTTATCCCTCAAAAAAATTATTCTTATAAGAAATGTTCCTTCAAAATAAAATATATTACTGTTTATATTTCACTAATCAAATTAACTCAGAATGTAAAAAGGATGTTGACAAATATAACCTAGTATTTAATATAGGAAAAGAAAATGTAGACCCTAGCTTTTATACTAAAAAATAACCAGAAGGAGAAAAAAAGCCAGAAAGTGTTTAAAAGAATAAGTAAAAGAGCACATAAGGTAATCAGCGTGGGAGGAGGGAGGAGCAAAAGAAGCAAGGTTGGACTCTACTCCCCCAAGTCTTCTTCCACACTCAACTGTCATCTCCACTACAATAATTAAATAATGTGTTCGTAGACTTTTAAGAGAGGGTGTCCAAGTCTGATTCTTCAGAATCTTCCTGCCATCTGTTTCGGAAGTTCCAATCTGCAGAAACAGCACAAACATATGCCCTGCAGTGAGGAATTTCAAATTTCAAACTGAAGTCCTAACGTGTGAAAAAAGCCAGGTAGAACCAACAGAAAAAGAACCACTCAGCACATGGATTCCATACTTAGGTGGCTACACCAATATGACCTGACATTTATATGATTCTTAATGCTCCTGAATAGCCATTAACACAGTGTGTAGTCATCACCTTAAAAAAAAAAAACAAGCCACATTTATTTATAAAGATAAAAGTACCTAACTTCAGCTTGTGTTTTCTAAAATTATTTTCCCCCATGAATAAAATACTGCACATTTTTGTAGTTATATTATAATTCCAGTCACATTTATGTTAAATGCAGAGTTATTGTGTGCAAAACCAGGTCTTAAAAAGTCTCACACTACAGGGTGCCATACTTTCCCTGAAATGCTGCCTGATACTATGCTAACCCATCTTTAGTGTTAACTATCAGGCTATTTGCCTGAAGCATTTGTTCAACTCCCAGCCCTGCCCCCTGCTAGACAAAGTTTTTTGCATATTGATATTGGCAGAGGGTAGGGGAATTTAGAGTGTTTTTTAACTACAGTGGAGGTACTCAGAAATTTCTAGAATTTTGACCTGTTTTATGACTTCTAGCAATAGTCTGTCTTGATTTTATTGAGAATCAGCAAAATTCTGCATTCATAAAAATCTTTAAGAGGTTAACTCACAACTGGTTGAAAACAAATAGCATGTTTGTAAAGTTTACTGTCTTTATCAGTTGTGAATGTAAGACTTTCCCTTTAAATATCTCGGTCTACAATTAAAATGCCAGCTTCCAGTATTTCCTCCAAAGGGAAGATTTCCAGGCCAAAAGGATTCACACAGTTTTTAGAAAGTTACATCTGTCATTAAAACAAGGTGCACACAGTGTTTAACTACAGCAGTCCTGACTTCTTTTTTGGAACACAGTACAGCTTCAAGAGGCAGAAGAAACACTGCTCCCATACAGAAAAATATTCAGTACCTTAGGTGGCATGAGCATTAGACTTAACATCTCCATCATGCACAGACTCTTTGTCAAGGTATTTTTCTAGAATACCTTGCTTTCTTCTCAAGGTACAAATCAGAAAATTTATTAAAAACCAGCCCAAACAGGCAGATTGGACACCTTAGGAGTGACCTGAAATGAAACGAAGCTGTCGTCT